ACGTTCTTATTTGGCACTTCAAAAGGAAGTGTTGCTTTGACTCAGTGTTTCGTATCGCTTCTTTGAAGCTTCGTTGAATCCAAGAGCTTTCAAGCTTCATACAGTCCTAATATTGAAATGCTACGTTAGAATGGCAGGAATACGATCACTGACCTCCAGTTAGTTTTGCAAGTACACTGCAGAATCATATTTCTTTTATATCTTGGGATTTGTCCCAAGCCCTATACATCGGAAAACTAATGAATTTGCTGGGCTGTTTTTAACTCTGAAAAGGCACAACTCCTAATTTTCAAGCAGTCCAAATAAATGAATACTTATTGAAGAGTCTTTGTTCTTTCTTGTATTGAAGGTTATGTGCATAATGTGCTTATTTTTAGTTTCCAGAAAATATGGAGGGGCTATTTTGAAGGGTCATTTTTATCATCCTTGGTTGACTTGCAAAACAGCTAGAAAATTTGAAGCTCAAATATACATAGTGATACAAAGAATTTTTAAGACTGATATTCAACCAAAACCAGAATTTTTCTTGCTGGGATTAATGGACAACTAGAAAAGACTAACGGATCATTCTTTCTATACATATGGTAGTAACGAGAATGAGATTATTATAAACACAAAGTTGGAAAGATTCAGCAAACCCAGTGGTGGGTTCCTCCCGGTTCCAGCCGGTTCCACCGAACCGGTAGTGATGACGATATGACATCACCGAACCGGTTCTGCCACCCCCGCCACCCCCACCCACCCCCACCTACCTCCCGCGTTATTCTTACCTTTTATTTGGCCCCACCCCCAATCTATTGCTACCTCCTGAGTCCCAGCTGATGGCTAGAGGGGGAAAAAACTGTTTAAACTCTTGCCGCGGGGCTTCAAAGGGCCACCCTACAGCTGATCAGTGTTAAAAGAAAACAAATGAGTAGACTGGTGCCTGCAAAAATAAATGGGTAGATCGGTACAGCTCTGCAAGCAGTTAAAAGCCTGGTAGACCAGTACCTCTGCTAAATCCTAAATAATTGTCACATGACCATCAAGCCACGCCCACAAAATAAGCCACGCCCACAGAACCGGTAGTAAAAACTTTTAGAACCCACCCCTGAGCAAAACCTACAATGGAGAAATGGTTGATGTGCCTTATGACCTCTTTTCACACTTACAACCTTTGCAGCCTCACCATGGTTGCGTGATCAAAATTCAGATGTTCGGCAACTGGTTCATGTTTATGAGAGTTGCAGTGTCCTAGGATGATGTGATCACCTTTTGCGACCTTCTGACGAGCCAAGTCAGTGGGGGAGCCAGATTCACTTAACAAAGTATTACTAACTTAACAGCTGAAGTGATTCACTTAACATTTAACTGTGGCAAGAAAGGTCATAAAATGGGGAAAATTCACTTAACAGCAGTTTCATTTAGCAACATAAATTCTGGACCCAATTGTAGTTGTAAGTCAAAGACTACCTGTCTGTATTTGTTAGTGACTGGAAACTGTTTAGGAGCTTTTTGTTAAAAACAGGAGGGGGAAATGAAGGTATACTTAATGGGTTTGATGATTAGAAAGACTGCAATAAGGAAAGAAGGGATATAACTTTAGAGAGCAAGGATAAAATATAAACACATTTATAACTGCTGTAAAGACCAGAAGTCAATTCACTCTTTCTTTTTTGTCTTTTTTCTTTCATTTCTTTTCTTTTCACTTACCACTTTTCTTTTACTTTTTTTAACTAGTTTTTTTTTCCCTTTACATTTGTATTACTATTATTTTTGCAAGAACTTATTTAATAAAAATTAATTACAAAAAAGAACCTTATCTCTCGGTCTCTTCGTAAGAAGATTGTAAGAAAGGGAAACTGTTCTTCCAAACGCAAATAATGTGTTGTTTTGGGCTCTTTTTCATTTGTTATTTGTTTTTTTCTTTCATTGAATTAACATACAAAAATGAATAGGAAAAAGAAACATACATTTAATAAAAGAACAAAAAGAAAAGGTAAGAAAATTACAAAGGCATATAATTATTCTGACAGCGGACACCTTAGTTTCTCAGTACAAGCATTAAATCATATAGTGAAAAATTAAGGTTTTTACTTTCTTAATAAAATCTCACTTCAAAAGTAGAGAATGAACACATATAATTAATCATTTATTGTAAATCAGTGGTGGCACAATTTTTTATCATTGAAAAATTATCTGTTTTGAAATACCCATGCTCGATACATACACATTTACTGATCTATAGTTAAATTCCAAACTTTTGGTGTCTAAAACACAAAACAACCAGGTCCACAGATGTAGGTTCAAAATTACTGATTTATCGCTCAAGCCTCTGCACAGGAATCTTCTCTGGCCAATGGTTAGCACATGGATAGAATTAGATAATGGAGCAGAAAGTTGGATATAAATTAGATAAACAAAAATGTTTCCCTAATAAATTTTTTGTTGACTAGCAACATTGGGGCAGTGAAGACAAGGGAGAAGCAAGTCATTTAGTATCAATTAGCACAATATTTAAAGCTGTGAACACTTGAACAGAGTGCTTAGCATTTAAATTGAGACTGCAATTTGCATTTAAGGGGCTTCATTAAAACGAGTAAAGATTTTATTACCCTTAACATTGTGCGAGCCCATCTTTGATACTATACAAAGCATTAAAGTCGATATATGTAAGTGTATATGTACACTCACACAAATACATACACCCACAAACATGGAGTCAATGTAGTGTAGCACTTAAGATGCTGGAGAAGGAGATTCTTCAGTTAGGCACAGAAGCTGCTGAGTGGCTTTGAGTGCTAGAATGAAAAGTTGAAAAATATTCTGTCTATGACGTTATGCTGGTCTAGTGCAATGTATGGGGAAATGACATACCATTTTTTTTTTTAATTTGATTTATATGCCGCCCTTCTCCGGAGACTCAGGGCGGCTTACAGTGCGTTAAGCAATAGCCTTCATACTTTTGTATATTTTATACAAAGTCAGCTTATTGCCCCCACAAACTGGGTCCTCATTTAACCTACCTTAGAAAGGATGGAAGGCTGAGTCAACCTTGAGCCTTGGAGAGATTCGAACCAGCAGTAAATTGCAGGCAGCTGTGTTAATAACAGGGTGCTTTAAACCACTGTAGTACCAAGACTCTGTAGTACCATCATAACTACCATATCAAAGATTTCATGTGTTGTGGCCCACCGGCGGCCAGTGGAGCTGGCAGCAGAGTCAGACAGTGAGGATGTTGGGGAAGAACTTGGGCCAGTCCTGGGGGCTGGGGAAAGTTTGGACGAGGGATCTGCGTTGGAGGCAGAGAGGGAGTTAGACAGCAGCAAGGCAGAGGAACACCTGGAGCCCATTCCCAGTGTGAGCATGTGCAGAGCTGCCAGAAGACAAGAACAACTCAGAAAGGGTTGATTCGGGAGTAAAGCCACACCTTGGATGTGATTGGCCCCTCCCATAGGAAATAAAAGAGGAGCGAACAGGGAGAGGGCTTTTGCAGGAAATAATTTGTTCATTCCGTGACTCTGAGAGACTCTGTGCCGGGTTTTGCTTTGTACATCAGTTGGAAACAAGTTACATGGCAGCTTGCCAAACGAGATAAGGTGTGTTAAGAAATATTCCTTTGCAAAATTGTTTGGACAAACCTTGCTGACTGTGAATGAACGTAATTCACAGTCGTGTAAATAAAACAAGTTTTGCCGGGACCAATTCCTGCCTCCTGCTTGTTAAGGGAGCCTAGGTCAGAACATCATGGTTGACAAAAAAGCCACCTTGAGTAACTTATAAAATAATAAAATCAGGATAGAAATCTAATAAATAAAGTTTTGGGATACAAGGCCCAATAATCAATTCCATTTCATTCAGGAAAGGGCTTCATCATTCATTATCATTCTTTTCTGTTGCATAAAACTCATGTTGTCTTAAGATCATCATAGCAATTCCTTACTGTAGACATTGAAAATACCAATGTTCCGAAGTTACAGGACTTAAAAAATAGATTTAAAACCATTTTATTCCAAAACCATAATTCTACTTTTATGCAATTTGGCAAGTTTCATAATTGCTTAGTCGTTCTCAATGTTTATTGCATTCTAGTGAAAAAATAAAGTGACAGAAAGTTTAAAAAGAGATCTTAGGAAATAGAGTTGAAAATATTTGCTGATTTTATGCATTCTGTAAAATTAAAAAAAAAATAGAGAGCCATATGAATTTTCTCCATTCTAGACTGTGGAGGTTCTAAGAGAGAGTTTTAAAAGGGAGGAATATTCAAATCAGATTAAACTGTAATCTGAATCATTTACAGAGCTATGCACCTGGACCTCAAATTAATCTTTCAGCCAACCAGGAAATACATGAAAGCTTAATTTTGAAACATTTTTCCCCCCCGAGGAAAATTCTTACAAGTGTCCTGATAATTCAGAAATAATGTCCTTTTTTCCACCATCATAGCTATCATTTTGCATTTGTTTTAGTAATCTGGCACTTGAAGTAACTTTGGCTTCAACTACAAGACTCACAATGTTTCATGTCATCTAAGGATGCTCCAAAGAATGAACAATTGACACCATTTAATGAAAGATGCCCAATAAAGCAGTAAATGCCATCCAACTCTGCACAACATGGCAATAAATTCTGTCAGTGTTGCAGTTCCAAATCATACATTTATGTGTTGTGCCTGAGCAGTTCAAAATCTAGACCAGAGAGAAATTGATAAATTGATATGACATTTTATGGGGCTCCAAATAAAACATAATCACTGATAACTTTTTCATTGGGACTGTTTCGGGGGTAACTCAATGTCAAAAATAGTGAGCCTCCTTTCAGCTGCAAGCAAAGAGGAAAACACACATATTAAACCAATCATGCTCATCACAGCTACCAACTGGATATAAGCTGCTTAGAGAAGTGTTGCGGGAACTAAATAATCATTTGGAAAATTGCTTTTTGTTTATTACATTTGAATCCTGTCTCCAACAAACTTGCTGATATGACATGCCTCATTGCTTTCCATTTTGTCCTCACAGAATAGATAACTGCTGTATGCAACTGAACAACTCCATTACAAAGATGGCTTCTGGATGGAGAAAATGACAGAACATCTCTGAGAAGCAGGAACGAGCTGAGCTGGCAATTGATGAGCAGCTATAGAGCGTAGTCTGGAGCAAGAAATGATGCATCTCTGCTTCAGAAGGCAGATCCTCACAAGGAAATCCTACCTTGAAGGCAGAATGGAGGAAAGATTTGTAAATCTGGAAGAAAAGGTGAATAAAAAGTTTGAAGAATTTGTAAACACAAGTGAGTGGAGAGGTGAAGGAAAAGTGAAAATTCTGTAAAATAAGTGCAAAAAAATGATAAACTGAGAGATGGAAAAAGATTTAGCCTTCAGATGTTGTGGGTGCTCCATCACTGGAGGTGTAATAATAACAGTAACAGAGTTGGAAGGGACCTTGGAGGTCATCTAGTCCAATCCCCTGCTCATGCAGGAGACCTATACTAGGGATTTGAACCACAAACTGCCGATCTTTCTGATCGACAAGCTCAGCGTCTTAGCCACTGAGCCGCCTAGCCAGTGTAGAATAGACTGGACAACCACTTGTCTGGAACAGTATAGGGACTCCTGTTTGAGCAGGGGTTGGACGAAGACCTCCAAGACCCCTCCCAACTCTGTTATTCTGACAGACAATATTGCAGCAAGGCTACTGTATACATGAAGATGGAAAAATACTGAAATACCCACAATGCTGGTGTGGATTGCAAAGAAAGCAGAAATGGCAAATTTAACATGTTTAATCTGGGATAAAACAGTATGGTCCTTTATAAAAGACTTGGAACACTTTATAAACTTTATGCTGAACCTGGAGACTGGGGAGAATGAGTCGGTGATCTTGGGATTTGATGTTTAAAAAAGGTTGAAGATGTGATTTTGTCACTTACAGATAAATATTAATTTTCAAAAGTTTTCGGGCTATGGTAAATGATCATTTAAAGTAACCTTTTTGCCACATTAAAACTGCAACTGTCTCACATCAGAAGCAAAGAAATCAGTATGTATTTTAGTGAAAATTTGAAAAGCATTCTTTCAGAGAGAGGGGGCAATGGGGGAGAGAGAGAGAGACAGAGAGAGAGACTTTAACAAGATGGATAACATTTCTGTGTGCATTTTAGATCCTAAACTCACTTTCTGCCCTACAAATGCAGAAAAACTGAGATGGTTCTGCTTGAGTTGCATAGCTTCTGGGTTTAAATTATATATATCCAAGTCTTATGAGAACCATATAACTACTTAATACACATCTCAACGTAAATGTGCAACCTGTTTTACAGTTGAAAAAACTAGTTGGCAAAGTATTGAAAATATTTTTTAAAAAAAAAACTTTTCAAGCACTTATGAGAATGTCTTATTCCTGGAAAAGTTAGCTATCACTTTTTTTGTCTATGATTCCCCTAAGAAATATCGCTTTTAGCTAAAAACATGTAAGACGATAACCCCAGCTCCATAAAAAAATAAATCAATAAACAAAGCAATTCTTGTTCTTCATGTTATCCATATTTGTATTTTTAAGTCTAGTTTCTAAGTTATGATATTCATATTTTGGAAGAAATTGCTTCATTTGTACACTATGCTCTTATATTGTGTATGATGATAAAATGATACCATAGACTGCTTCAGGGCAAAACTATATGTATGTCATGGGTAAACTATTTTGGCACCTTTCCACATTTTTCCTATGGGGAAATTTGATCAGCTGCTAGGAACCTAACCAGGGGTGGGTTCTACTTACCTTTACTACTGGTTCGCAACGGGGCCGCGCGCACACTCTTTTGCACATGCGCAGAAGCATTTTCATGATGTCAGTGTCAGTGGGTGGGACCTCCCGCTGGTTTTACTACCGGTTCTATAGAACCGGGGCAAATCGGGGCAACCTACCACAGAACCTAACAAATTTTGATGTGTTTTGTATTTTTTAAAAAAAATAATTATTGCTATTGTAGTATTTACAGAAATTACTCTCATAATCTCATAGGTTGTAAAACATATTATCAACAGATATTTTTCAGTTGTGGGGAAAGTTGGACTGCACTTTTCTGTTTATCATTCTCCATGAGTTGAGTCAAAATGGAGATTTTTCATTCAGCAGACTTCAATCTTATTCCCTCAGTTCAATATCTGCAGCAATGATGTACCGATACATATATATATACATACTGACACATACATACATACTGACACCTTCTTTGGGTTCACTTATTCCTTAGTCACTTCCTGTTTGGATTACTGCAATGCACTCTATATGGACTGCCTTTGAAGACTATCTAGAAGTTGCAACTGGTCCTAAGGGGTATTTTTGTTTTGAACTATATTTTTACAGATTGTTGTGAGCTGCCTCAAATCATCATATGAGATAGGCAGCCATATAAGGCCTATAAGTAAGTGAGAAATAAATATGAAAGCAGTGTTGGGCATCTTTTAGGATGAGGACAATCTTTTTGTCATACCATAGGGAAAGTTGTTGGATTCAGCATGGCAACCCAGGATTGGGTAAATTCAGATTATTCAAACTTTTTATTTGGCATGATGTTTTGTGGATCTTCTAAAGCCCACTTGCTTCTCCAATCTGGCCAACTGCAGAGGTTCCAGCACAGATTCTAGGATTCTGATAATATTGAGTAAGCGAACTGGTCTATAATTTGCAAGATCATTCCTATTATCTTTTTTGAAGACAGTGAGCACAATGGCCAATCTCAGTCATCTGACATGTCAGCAAAAGTCAGTACTGATACCTTCATGACAGACCACCAATTAGTATTATCTTTGATTAACATCGTTAGTACAGAATCATTCCCAGGAGTTTTTCCTCTGATCCAGAAGGCCAGGAAGCATGAAATGGTCTGAAGTAGGATGGTACTAGTACAAAAGACACCGTGTAGTTTAGAAAAATGCAGCTCACGGTTATGCCACAGAACAGCCAGGAGAAACCTGTGTTTTGATGGCCTGTTTTTATTCTCCAAAGAGTTGAATAATTTTTTGTTTTCATAACTTCAATTAGCTTCTGCCATATAGCTACCATCATATTTCTTATTTTCTTATTCAGTAGGATTTTATGTCTCCGTTTTGTTTCTCTCATAATGGAGTTTGTGTTAGCTCTAGGGTTGCTTTTATAGCATTTAAATGACTCGGTTAAGGTTTTTTTGGCAATTATGGTCAGACCATTTCTTAGATACCAGATTACACTAGGCCAATTTGAAGTTTTCCCCTACTACAAATTCTCAAAAGGTTCTGAATAAGTCTTTCATATAATTCCATTACACAAGAAACCTTGGGGCACAGATTGAGCATCCCTCTGAAAATGCCATGCATAGAAATTTACTTTGTGAGAAATTCATCTAATTGGCCAGTGTCTCACTCAGCTTACCATTTCATTTACATTTCCCTCAAGAACAAGATGTTGAAACAGGTTAAGGATTCAATAAATGACGGGACTGAACTTTTGGAACCCAAGCCATTGATATTCCATGACATCAGTATCAATTTGCTATCTTACAATGTCATTTTGTCCCTGGTTCTCCCGTTGATGGAGATTTGAGTACCTGTGTGTAGGATTGAAATAAGGTTATACCTCAGAAGGTTCCATCTGCTGTTTCTCAAATGAAAAAGGAATATATTCTTGGTAGTTAATTGTAATTAATTGTAAGGGGCTGGGAGGAATATACTCATAAAATAGATTTTTGAGCATAAAAATCTTATATTTCTTGTGCTAGAGCAAGGGTGTCAAACTCAAGGCCTAGAGACTGGAGCAGCCATGGGGTGCTTAGATCTGGCCCACAGGGAAGCCCTGGAAACAGCAAAGGAGTGGCCCATGGTGCCTCTGCCAGTGAAAATGAAGCTCGGGAGGGCCGCATGTATCTCCCCCAAGCTCCGTTTTCACTGGCAGAGAGTTGCAGGAGGCCGTTGGAGCTGAAAATGGAGCTCAGTAGCCCGTTTTTGCTGGCAGTGTGCTTGGACCACCACAGGTGCCCCCGACACGGGTGATGTTGAGCTGGCCACACCCATCCTGGCCACAGCCACACCGGCCCCCAGAGGTCAAATGCAACCCTGAATGAAATCAAGCTTGACACCCCTGTGCTAAAGCTTTGCACTGGTTGAGGTTCTCAATTTTGAAACTAAGAGATATGTTACCTGTGATTGGTAAGTCTGCTTCATAATCTTAATTGGCAAAGGTCAGTTCAATTATTAAAGTTCAGTATAATTCTCATGTCTCATGAATCTGAAATCCTCAGATACCACAATTTTTTGAACCTGCCCATCAGGCATTGATTATGGCTCTGAGGCATAATTGGGCACTGGTTTCAGTGATTTGGTGGGTGATTGTCAGATGAAGATTTTCTGAGAGATTTTCATCTAGGCCTTCAATATAATTAGATCGAAACTTGGCAAGGATCTTAGAGGACACAGATTTGTTTCTAAGCAGATGCTTTCCAAAAAGTCTCCATGATCGTTCACTCTTGAGTTTTCCAATGTGCAAATCCCTTTTTCTATACTTTTTGTCTTCTTTCCACCCACACCATTCATGTCATCTAACTACCATGGTTTTTATTCTGGATTTAAATCATTCAGAACTTTGCACATTTTTTCCCCAACATGTATTCGCAATTCATCTATTAATTCATCAGAGCCTAACATGCAATTGTTCTATTTTCAGACATATATCAACATTCAAACATCCCGCCTGGACTACTGCAATGCTCTCTACATGGGGCTCCCCTTGAGGTGCACCCGGAGGCTCCAGCTGGTGCAGAATGCGGCTGCGCGGGGGATTATGGGAGCGAGAGGGCGCTCCCATGTGACACCTCTCCTGCGCAAGCTGCATTGGCTCCCAGTGGACTTCCGGGTGCGCTTCAAGGTACTGGTTACCACTTTTAAAGCGCTCCATGGCATCGGACCTGGGTATTTGCGGGACCGCCTTCTGCCGCCAATAGCCTCCCACCAGCCAGTACGCTCCCACAGAGAGGGACTCCTCAGGGTGCCGTCAGCTAGGCAGTGTCAGCTGGCGACCCCCAGGGGGAGGGCCTTCTCTGTGGCAGCACCTGCCCTCTGGAACGATTTGCCCCCGGAGATACGGAGGATATCAGATCTCCGGGCTTTTCGCCATGCCCTAAAAACTTTTTTCTTCCATCAAGCAGGGCTGGCGTGAACCCCCCCCCCGTTTTTGAGATATTAGATTTTTTAATTGTTTAATGGGTTTTAGTTGTAAGGTTCTTAATGTTTGGCCAAAGGGTATAATTCTTTTAAATTTTTAAATTTTGTATTGGATGTTTTTTACTTGGCTGTGCACCGCCCTGAGTCCACTAGGAGAAGGGCGGTATACAAATTTAAATAAAATAAAATAAATAAATAAATAAAACATTGATTATGCCCATTCATACTTTCTTCTGTATATTTTAGCCCTTCCATTCATACATGATTCTACACTTTCTTTTTTCAACTTGGCAAAATCAAGCCACCTTTATACTGATCTATTAATTTTTTCCCCTTTTCTCTTAGGTTCATAAGCATAAAACATATCTATTGTTTATTTCTTTTGTTTAATTTGTAAATCAATACTATTTAGTATACTTTTGTTACATTCAATCTTCCATATGCCAAATGGTCACATAGATTCTATAGATACTGACATTTATCACTCATTGTAGCATTGGTCAATCAAGGCATTCATGTAATGCTTTTTATAGGACACAGAATATATTGATTTGGTTACCATTGCTGGAAATTGTAAAGAAATTATGCTGTTGATTTGTAATGAGTTACTGTTGTATCTTAGCTGGGTGAGCATAAACCCAAAATCAACATTCAAAGCCAGATGTATTTTATGGATTACAAAATGCATTTACTGGGCAGTATCCTTTATCAGTTCTGCTAAAAATTTGAAGCTTTACTTCATGGCCTGACTGCAATTGG